CATCGACATCTGGGGGGCTGATAGTCTCATACACCCTCAATGCGTATGAGCGTACTATGGGTCTTTAAGCCTGCTCATACCTTCTCATAGATGCCTTCGCTCATATTCTACAAAATTGCAGTCCGCCCTTTTGAAGAATGAACGCCAAGAACTGCCTGGGGTCGATTGACTTCTGCTCCCTTGCGAATCGGTTTGTTCGAGTTTTCCAGGAGCAGTGTTCATACTTTTTGCGCATATCCTTCCAAATCGAGGATCCTCTGAAACGCAGACGCCCGTTCGCAAAGTATGAACGCAGACTTGGAGGCACAATCCGCGTTCAAAGATGGTTAGCTGTGTGGCTCTTACATTAATGAAAGTTTGGCAAGTAACGCTGAATTGAAACAAACGCAGGAAAAATGTGCTTGAGAGAATCCCCACCCCCCCACCCCTCATGCTGAGCTGTGCTTGCAAGTTGCTGATTGGGGTTGGCTCCTTCTCCTTCACCTCACTGTGATCGTTCGAAATGAAGAAAGCTGGTAGCGGAGCAACCGACCCATCAGGGACCTTTCGAAATGAGACTTGGGCATTGCGATGGCCTGTGCGCGGAGTATGACTTCGTCGCGAACGGGTCGCGCATTTCTCGCGTATCCCTGAGCTGCAAAAATAGAACATCCTCCATGCTTGCAGGCAGGACCACCATGTCCAGAAGGCGTCTTAGCATTAAACAGAGCTTGTAGCTGGCGTTCTGTTACAAACCTGCAGTCGCAAAAGACTCCGGAGGAAAAACGCAAAAAAAACATGGAGAAAAGGAGCTGTCGTCTGAGTCGACTCGACGAGTTTTTTCATGGCTGCTCGTTTAATCGCTCGTTCGGCGGTCAGAACTGCCACATCTGAGGGCCGCTGCGCCTTAGTTACACTCCTTATCCTGAGCCAGAGTAGGCGTGGCATTTGAACATGGCACGGAATTGGTTACTCGTGGAATATTCCAGTCTGGGACAACTGTCATCTTGTTCTGTGTTGGACAGAGACACGACAACAATTGTGTCAAGATGAAAATATCTCACCAGAAGCATAGACACCTTCAGGTTAAGTTGAAACATGCAGCCACTACCCGATCTCAGGGATCTCGAGGTTACTTATTGTGAAGCTGCGAAAGTGGGATAAACTTAGAGGATGGGGGGGTATTCTACTTGTATGAGGAGGGACGCCTACGAATTACTCGAGCGCAGGGACTGTCTTTAATTATTTTCGACAGTTGTAGTTGTTACGGCATTATTTGGAGTATTTATCGATGTCATTTCTAGGTCATGTTTGATTCGCCCTATGCTGACTTACCACGTGATCATCCATGTGTGGAGGAATGCATTAGTATCAACGAATCGATTGACAAGCTATTCATAGATGATCCGGAATGCATGGTCCGTATCTCGCCAAGGTCCACTCAAAAACTGTTCACGTACCGTACTCCAATACTTTACAGAGGAGCAAGGGATCCTAACTTTTCAGGTAATGTAACACTGTTCTCCACTTCTCCACAAGTTTGTAATCACCTTGTTTTCAGTTGTGGACTACCACGGTCCTGGATTCATCACCCATACCGAAGAACGTCTTATTGAAGAGCATTACCGCCACAATTATGTGGATCACAATGGGGACTTTTTCAATCCAGTGGAACTTGGTTCAGTTAAAACGTTGAATTCGCCAATAGGCGCTACATTAGTATATTCTGAAGTCCCAGACAGTACTTCGGATAGTACCACTTGCGATGTGAGCTATTATATACTATTCTCATTTCAAACTCATGACTTCTCAAACAAACTTGCGATTTCTGGGGTCAAATTCTTAGCCACAGTAGATACTACTGTAAACTTCGCCCCGGCAGCCACGTTCACACTCCCGACTCCTCTCACATTTCAAAGGGATTTGTTGCAAATTCTGAATTTTCATAGCTTCATTTTCGGCTCCCAGCTTTTTTTTCGGAACTCCAAATCCACTGTTCGCTCAAAAAAGGTACCCACATACGGTTCATAGCATTTATGAGCTCACAGGGCTTCGCCCTTCAGCCGCGCCACTTTTCAGTCTTTCTGCGGAATTCTGATCGTTTTTGAAAGTTACTAATTTTTGAGACAGTGGGGAAAGTCCACGCCCACTACGAGGAGCCCGCCTAGTTTCGCAGAATTCCAGATCAATTGGCAGGTTAGAACCTCAACTAGTCAACTAGTAAGTCAAGTTTTAAGTATTAACTAACTAGTAAGTAAGTTTTTTGTTCCACGAGTCTCACTCGTCTCGCGGAACAAAAAAAAACGAGCATGAAAGACGAGCGAGGTCTACTAGTTGAGACTCTATATTGCTAATTTGAGAGATTCTACGAGTATGGGCAGGGATTCGCCGAAGTGGGCGAAGCTACCAATTGCTACCCTAACGAGGCGAAAATTTGGTGAAGAGTTCAAATTTCGGAAAAAGGCTCAAAAGTGGTCGTGGATGGAAGGACGTAGCTTGCAGTAGTCTCCAGGGTGTGAATTTGGTTCAAGAAGTTGTGAATTTAAAACAAAACTTGTATTTCTGTAATTTGTATAGTAAAGTTCTGAGTGAATTTAGGAACCGGATGACGTCATTAAGATCGTAAGGACAGCCACTCCAGAGATTGTTGAAAGTCATGAAGAATCTGTGATAGTCTGCACTGAGGTGAGTCCTCGCTGCGGCAGAAAATTCCTACTGTATTTTTTTTTACTTTTTACCGTTTTCTCTGAAGGTAGAGACGCCGTCGAAGCAGCTCGCCTCTGATGAAGATGGTACGGATGAAGAAGAAGAAGTGGAAGTGTCTTCACTGGCAAGCGGAACCGGCAAGGTATGTGGGCGAGCAAGAGTGGTTTACATTTCTTCATGTTCTCTTGAACTGGGATTCCCCTTTTCAGCGCTCAGCCAAATCCCCTATCCCGACAGAGGGGAAAGTTCCCGTTCCCGAACGACGAATGACCAGATCGGCGTCGCGAAATCCTGCAGAGGTTTTACATTTCACTATTTTCCTCCTTTTTCTGGAATATTCTCCTGTTCGCACTCTAGGGCCACACTACACCGCGATCAAATAATATTGCTATGCGAAAGTCATCAGCAATTGTTACAAGACGAGGTCCGTGCCGAGCCTCATGCGTCAACGTTGAAGATAAGGTATGAGAATGCGGAACCATGTTTACCCTCGTCGCTGGATTTTTTAATTTTTTTTCAGGTTATGACCCCGTCGGGTTCCGTGGATATCAAAATACATGTTGACAGCTCTCTTACGCCAACCTTCGGAATGATCACAAGGTAATTAGAGGGTATTTTTGCAATTTTTTTTCTGAAAGCTTTGAGCTTTTCGGCTTTGTTGAGAGTGCATTTGGACGCTCTGACAGCCTGAAAAAATGCATTTTGAAGTGAATTCGAGAGAGTTTCCGAGAACTGGTTTGTTTTGTCACCGCTACAAAACCTCGAGAAATGTGATGGGGTAACATGACTAGTTCAAATGACGCATGCACCGCATGAGTCACAGCTCGCGTGATGGATTTCGGGGGCGTCAGGCATGCGCTTTCGTAGTGTTTACTTGGGTTAGTTATTTTAAAACAGAGGATTCAGAAAGAAAGAGTTTACTGCTGAGTGAGCGCTAGACTTTGTGTTATGAGACGGATGTTTCACCGGAAAGAGAGCTTTTCATAGGAAATGGAGGCAGTGATATGCTTGAAAATCTCAGTGATGACCATGGTTTCTGTTACATTAGTCTGCGTTCATACTTTCAGCGTAAGGCAGTGTTTTAAGCGACTGGGAATTTATAGATATCGATCTGGCCTTTTGAGCGTACGCCAGCAGCCACTGCCCACGAACAGTTCAAGACAACCTGCGAAGTGATAGCGTTCGCCATAAATCGCCACCTATATTTTCCTAGTCCTAAAAATGCTGCCGTACGCTTGAAATGCTGAAAACGCTGACGCAGAGTATGAACGCGCCTTAAATTCGTCTAATAAGTTTTTTTCCAGGTCGCGAGATCGCAGCGCAACTACTTTGGTAGTCGATGTACGTACGCCGCCACAGCGATCGGCGGAAAAACGTACTGCTCAATATCGCTCACCAAGTGACGGTTCTGCCCACATCCCATCAACACCGTTAAGTGGGAGTCGTAAAAGACCTCATCGTGAACTTGAACGAGGTGCCAGTGGTATTACACCAGTTGTACATCGGCTCAATCTGGATGCACCTTGTCGGTCAACCAGTGAACCGGGATCCATGGCATTTCCTAAAGTCCGGAGTGCACCAACTACGCCTTCTAAGGTGATTTTCATTCAGAGTTTTTTTTGAACATCATCATTGAGCAAAGCAACGAACGATTTCAGGTAACTGGTGGTATGAACCGCATGGGAAGCAAATGGTCGCTATCAAAGTTGGACACGAGGGCGTCGCTGAGAGATAGCGCCGTTGGTAGCTTAGAATTAGGAGAACCGCCGTCAAAAATGCGACGAATTTACGGATTCATGCGCCGTTTAGTTGGATTTGGCCTTGGAAATGGGCAGTAATAAGTGAGTTTTAGGTACTTATGTTTGTGTTGTTATTTTTGCGGTATAGACTTGAAACAATATGTGAAATGTGCAAACAGCGAATTGTTTTGGGTACGTGGCAAGAGAATCGTAATTCGCTGATTGGCGTCGCGTGTGCGTCGCGCCGGCAAATGACGATGGTTCCAGGTCTTAGATGGCGGCAGCAGGCAATGTAGAACTGGAATAGCCATAAAGGTCGACAGTTTTGTAGCCCACGTGAAATCCGTGGCTCCAAATAACAGGCTAGCACGAACTAGGAAAAACGTCGCGCCCATCGCCGCGCGCGGCGGAACAACGTATCACGATTCTCTTGCCCGTCTCTCAATCGTTTTCGCCTTATTACGGCTCGTTATAAAACGCTGCGGTTATTATCGGTTATTCCTTGTTATAGACCTTTTCCAGCGGGGAGGGGAGGAATGAGCTGTCTAAATATTCGGTACTACTCTGGTTTACACAGCTTCAAAATATGGATATAAAAAGATGGCATGAGGCATTGCAGCGCCTTAGATTACCTGTGAATCATTTATACGTACTGTCCCTCGTACTTTTGTGGGCTTTCACGGAGGGACATGAGTAGGTGCCGCAGCGTTCAGACTTTGCAACGCGCGTCGACGTGCTACAATTGCAGCAGCACAATGCTATGGGCACTAACGTAACCGCAGACCGATCGATCGGCCCCGATTGCTTGTGTATTGAGAGAGTGAAGGCAACTGGAGGGTACTCTTGCCTAATTTCGCAGTCTGGTATCGATCGGCAGGCAGTGGCCGCGAGGGCTTGAGGAGCATAGAAGTGTGGGAGAGTACCAGAATGTGTGAAGGCAGCCCTTAAATGCCTGTTGTCCTGTACGCTCTTAAAGCGCAATTGGCCGTCGTCGATTGATTCCCGTCTGCGCCTTCATTCGCGTCTATAGGATTGGAGCGCTGTTGCAGCTGTAGCGCGTAGACGCGCGTTGCGAATTCTGAACACTGCCTACCATAGTCATGTGTCCTTGTATTTTCCGTCCACATCGGGCAGGCCCCTTTTTATACGGGTGTGTTTTGTCATCTGTCTCCCTTTGCTCCTTTTCTTTCATCTTTTTCCGGTCCTCAGACCGTTATATTATAGAAATACAGTCATTGCGGACCGGTGGGGCGTGGCAGTGCGGCTGCATTTGGTGCGGTTTGGCAAAGTCGTTCTGCACCAGTTTTTGAAGCGAACAAGTGCATTACTGTATAATATCCTTCGTATTACTCGTTTTCTACCACTTTTTGTCGCATACGCGTTGCAACAAAAAGGCTGAGAACGGCTTCAACAGTGTGCGCACTCCTTCTGGCTGACACGCCCCACCGGTCCGCAATGATGAGGACTGTAAGTACGGGTATTTGGGTCGAGCTTGCCTACTTCAGAGGACGGCTACCCACAGCATTTGTTCCCCTCTTCTCATATGCTGACCTGTTGCAGACTTTGATACACTTTCCCCGGCTCTGAAACAGATTCACGAATTTTTGATTTTGGCCCCGCCCGCCTCGGTGCATGCCACGCCCACTGCGGATGTGTTTCCTCTGTGGCAATGGTCGTCCGCGCTTTGAGCGGAGCTTTTGAAGAAGGCGCGGCCGTGTGGTTCCCTTTCCCGCTCCCTCAACAATGCCAGCGTCAGTCAGCTTCCAGTAGAACTCACGTGTGACGCCTTCGAATAATCGTATTATTTTTAGGAGTCGAGTCGATCTGGTGATCCAATATTTCCACCTGCCATTGCGGCTTGGCCGCAACCGATTGTTTATATACAACGCTTTTTTATTTCTTCACTTAATGCTTTGAACAGACACGGGATCAGAGGTCTGACTCAGCGACGTCGCTCAGATCTCTCATCGATTTCCGCTTTGAAACTGTTATGGCGAAATTCTTTCTTTGATAATTTCCTTTTTATTGTTTTTTTATCTAACAGATCATTCTATGTAATTTGTCTTTCGGAGTA